AACTAAAATAGCTACTGAATGTGTAAAAGCAATCTACTCTTTTAATGCATGATTAATTTCATGATTTGTATCTTACATCAGTCATATAGTGCTTATTATCCTTTTGTTAAAATATGTGGCTACTTTGAATACGCAAATAACAATAATATAAATTCCTATTTCCTGATATTGCTACAAAAACTAGTCTGTTCACTGAGCACTAAAATGAGCAAGCCCCTCATTGTTGTGTTAGTGTGCTATCACTTCGACATATCAACTTCACCTAAGACGGTGAACTTGATATGTCGAAGTGATGGCACATATATACTCATGCCATGTATAGAGGGAAGCAAATGTTGCTCCACTTCCTTTCGTTTTAACAACAGCGGTGAGATACACGTTCCTCTGTTTCTAGTTTTGAGTTATACTTCTTGTTTCATACCAGAGTTCCCTAATGCCTCTTCTTCCAAAAAAGTAAAAAAAAAAAAAACGGACTACTGGACTTTGTTTTCCAAGTTTGAAGACATTTCGCTTTTCATCCAGGAAGCTTTTTCATGATGTGAAAAAACTTAGCAAATAGACTGAATGTTTATTGTTTCATTTGCGCAGGTTTGAGCATTTAAAAAGGTCATTTGTAATAGGGAGACCAGGCCACCGCTACAAAGGCGCATGGCTCAACACAGGAGGGCCAACTCCTCAGGACAGAACTGAGCCGTTCAATTACACCTGAAGGCTAAAGGAGACTTGTTTGAGGACAACTTCAATATTCTGACGAAGACAGATGAGTTGAGCGAGGTGATGAGGAAGCCATCTTTGTCAACCTGGGAAAAATATCTCTCAACGGAGGAGGTAGTCTCAGATATAACCTTTCACCCACTGCATGTCACAAAAACCACTCTCACAAAGAAGTTTATGACCCATCAAAACCCTCTAACGGACATTAACACCTCCCAGGTGACCTCCATGGCCAATCCAGTAGGAGGGATTAAAGCCACCTTTTGTTCTCCCTAAATCTTTGTTACACTTATGGTAGAGTAATCACAATACTCCCCACCACTTGTTAGAAATGAAGAAGCCTCTAGGATAAGAGGCAAAAGGTTGTCTAGAAAACTTAACGTCCAGTTGCCTAAACTGAACCTTTCAAGCCAAGAGCATTTCCTGTCAATGTCTCACTGTTGGCCTTTTTACAATAAAAGCACAGGTAAACCTTAACATTACAGACTGCTGCTACATTGTTCTCTATGAACAACTTTTGAATTTCCTCGGGAGACCATCAATTTTTGGAAAAGCCCCAAAAGCTGTGAAAAGGAGAGTCCACTTTGGTTAATTGAGAGCTGGGTCTGGATGATGGTTGGATTAAGAGGAAAACAGATGCTGGGCATCGGTTCTTTCTGTGTGGGTAGATTGCTATGCCACTTTCAGTCTATTAATTCTCTTAGTTGTTATATATTGTCTCTTTTTACTTGATTTGGTCAGTTTCCTTTATTTTATTTGCTCTCAAACTTTTTGAGTAACGGCCCACAATTTAACATACGCATCTGTCCATGACCCCTGTCCCAATGCCGATCAATATACTTATAAGATGCATTTACATAATCAGTCAAGTGCTTATGAACTCTTTTCAGGTCTTAGTCTTTTTATCAACTTATTTTGAAACACACTGAGATTTAAAAAAGAAAGCATCAAGAGGCTAAGTTTCTAAATAGACCGGTGTTGTGCCAAGTTAGTTTATATCCCCTCGCTGGGAGCCCGCATGGCACAGGAGCTGATCGAGTTCACCCCGCCTCAATTCCGTAAGGGTACTACAACATACAGAAATTGTAAGTAAATATAAAACACAAATATAGATTTGAGCACTAAATATGACATGGGATAAAGTAATATTCCAATGGGGTGTAGCCTATGTACACGTACAGTCCCTTAACCTTTGTTTTTATAGGAATATGTTTGACATCAGTTTTCAATTAGATGAGAACGTTTAGACACCATAAAAGAATTACACAATTGTTTTATGGAACATGTTTAAATGAGCAAGGAGCTGTTGGCTTTCAGCAAAAGCAGTTTATACCAGTGGCGGCTGGCCAATAGAGGATCTTCAATAAGACATAAAAAACAAAAAATAACTCAAATTATTAAATTAAAATGTTTCAAAATATACTAATATATTTTTTTGCTGTGCCAGATAAATATTAATTGTTTTAGTTTTTAGGGCACTAGTGGCTCGTTCTAAGGCTGACAGGAAAGGGAGTATGAGAGACTGGGAGAGACATGCGGCAAAGGACCACAGGTTGGGTTTGAACCCGGGTCAGCCGCTCCAAGACTGAGGCCTCTGTACATGGGTTGTGTGTGCTTACTACTGCTCCACCGAAGCACAACCACAAAATGAATTAATCCTTGATGACGAGTAAAGCTGATTTGTTCGTTGTCAGATTGGTGACGTATTTTAGCCCTGGGGCGAAAATATGCCAATAAATCTTTGGCCATTGACTTTGTTAAAAGTTGTACATGCACAGTAGCCTATAATGCAAAAGGACAGGAGTTCCTTAAGGATGCAGATCTCCTGCCGTCCACAGTCGTAGTGGGGCTGATTGACAGGTCAAGTCATGGAAGTGAAATCCCCTAGAGCAAACTAACCAAGAGAAGCTGGAGGTAAAAGCGTTTGGACGTGATCAGCCGAACATCAAAGTTATTCAGCAGTCCAAAGACATGGAGACGGTACACTCAGTCTTTCTTCAGGACTTGGTTTAGCTGCAAGGCTTGGCTAACTGCATGCAGCGAGGCTAATGCTTTATTCTGCTTACCCTGCATCCTTTTTCAAATGCCTGGATCTGGAAAATATTATAATATGGTGTACTTATTCAAGGTGTTTGTTAATTTGCATAGTTGCTCTTAAATAACAATTATCAGAAAATAAATAGTTTTTATACATTAAAAAATATAAAGATGAATAACAGCTTCTCCGTTATTTAACTGGTACACTGCAAAAACAATCCAGAAATAAGTAAAAAATGGCTTAAATTAAGTATATTTAGCCTTAATTTGAGCAGGTAAATAAGATGATTTGCCAATGGAATGAGTATTTTCACTCTTAAAATAAGATAGTTAGATAATATTTACTTGAAATAAGACGATAAAATAGTTTTTTCTTATTTTAAAAGGAAATTGTCTTGTTCCATTGGCAAAGTGTCTTACTTACCTCCTCAAATCAAGGAAAAACACACTTATTTTAAGAAAAAATAACTTATTGAGATTTATATTTTTTGCAGTGTACATTTTCTTTTTTTTAGGTTTGTGACACCATATTGGACCATGCAAAACACAGATTTGCCTTCACAAAGCCTCTTTTTTTATAATGTTTTTTGTTGTTGGCATTCATATAAATATACTGATGTGATAACTTTATATTAGTTACGTGTCTATTTTGAACTTATAGCCTCCCTTGGAGTAAAGTCCACCAGCCGCCACTGGTTTACATGGTTCTTAGCGTCCTGATTTGAAACAAATGCTTTCATGTTTGTTTTTTCTTTTAAATCAAGATCACTGGATATATTCTGCTATAAACTTTGAAGTGAAGAATAAAATAGCAACGCTCATCTTTCATAAAGATAACACATCTCAAGTTTCACGTTTAGTAGTTTGGAACTGAGGCAGAGTGAACTTTGTGCATGCTCCCTGGAAGGGGGTACAAATTCTGGGGATACATATTCTTTGTCCTGGTGTTGTATGAAATTTTGTTTCTCTTGTGTCGAGAGCGCATTGAAGGCAGAGAGGCTGACGTGGCGGATGACAGACATTTTGAATTGAGAATTAAAATACATTTCATAAAGATCATCAAACCAACAGTCATATTTTTTATTATCTTGGATTTCAAAATATAAAATAATAAATGTTTCAAACATAAATATAGAAAAATAATGACAGTCTCAAAATTCACAGGATTTGTTTATTTTTTCCCCCATGTTATAGGGGGAACAGATTATATCAGGTGGCTAAAATATTTGATTTCCCTCTTTTAACTCAGGCAAATAATGATCAAATATCACCAAATCCACAGAGTTTGTTGTTGATGAAGAGAGGAATAAACACAGCTAAGGACTTGCAGGTACATTTATTTAATCCCTTGTTATGGAAGGGGATCTGATTATTTCAGTCAGCTAAAATTTGTGGTTCCCCCCTCATAACTCTAGTAAATAAGGAACAAAAACTACCACAACACAGGGTTTCTTGTTGAGGAAGTAAGGAATAAACACAGTTAAAGACTTGCAGATAAATAAATTTCTTCCCATGTTATGGAGGGGGGATTGTTATGTGTGACAGCATGTAGTATTCTAGAAATTTCTTTAAATTAGTAATCTGTCATATTTTACATTAGAATGGGATTTACCAGAAAGTCTCTACTCTCATCTTCACCCTCAGGGCTAAGCCCTTGATCTCCTAGAATCATAGATCCACCCCTGGTTGAAATATTCTTAACAAATTTTCACGTAAATAAAAAGTTAACCTGAATGTAAGTTGTTAAAAAAACTGTAAATTTTACTATATGGAATAAGTCTTGGCAACTTTCCCTTAAACGTGTCATGATCCGAACGCTGATGCCTTTGGTGTGAAAGTTTTCTAGCATTACCAATAGTGTTCTATTTGCCTTATCCTGACCCGTTTTTGCCTTCGGACCTTGGAGGCTGCCTGTCAGTGCTCTGATCTGTTTGCCTGCCTGTCTTCGGACTCCTGTTGAATTCCTCTTGTGGACTGTACCTGGATCTGTCTTCTGACTTCACCCTGTGGATTATCCTGCCTTCCTTTGTCTACTTGGATCTGACCTCCTGCCAGTTCTGCAGCCTTCAAGGCTTCAACATCTGGAACTCTCTGGCTGTGTCCGCTATGTCTTGTCAGTCTACCGGCTGGAATCTGCCACATTCTCTTGGCACAGAATGCACTGTTAAACCAGGCTAGTGACTCACGTGTTCATAATCTTCCCCTGTCAGATTATCGTGGTCACTAACCTGTGTTTCTCTCTGGCTGTCTTAGTTGCCCTAGCAGCTGCCACTGCAGATTTGCAGTTCTAAGAAACACTTTTTGAGTAATCCCACTGTCTGTCTTGCCTTGAATACTGGGTCCCCTGTTCTGACCTGTGACAAAACGGCTCTTTTCACTTTTGAACTCTATATAAAAAGTTTAAACAAAAAAAAAAAAAATTTGAGAACTTTTTATTCTATCATAGCCATGAAAGGAAATGAACATAACTCTTTGAACATGAAGTCAATCATAACAACTTCGATGAAATAATAAAAATAATCCTGAACGAATTAAAGGTTTCCCAGGAATGACAAAAATGAAAGTCTGTGATATGTAAATGATCTTAAAACGAAACAATATATATTTAATTATTTCATGTATTAATCAGCAAAATCTTGACCGTCACAACACATCTTTCATTTCACAAAAAAGAAAATTCCCGCAGCAATTCCAAGAATCCCTAGAATCAAACCAGAGATACAGAAGACAGTTGGACCCATACCCCTCTCTTCTGTTTCAACATCTAAAGAGAATTAGAGTAGAAGATTAAACATGACATGTAGAAAACAAGTAAAGTTAATTCAGGTTTTTATCAAACCAAATAATATAAAAAAAAATCTTAATGTCTCACCCCAGGTCCTGGTCTCAGGTTCCTCTAGTGCCTCATGTTTTACAGTGCAGCTGTAGATGTCTCCTTGCTTTGGAACAAAGTTCAGATAGGAGAAGACATGAAATGTCCCATCAGAGTTGGATACAATTTTGAAGAAGGGGTCTTCCACTGCCACTTCTTTATTATTCTTGGTCCAACTGATGTTGAGCGCAGGAGGGTAAAATTTGTTGATGAAGCACACAAGGGTGTTCTCTTCATCTTCAAACAGCTCATTTCTCAGGTAAATAATCATTTCTGGTCGGTCTAAAAATAATCAACTGACAAGTTATTTCTTTCATGCTTTAATTATGATCCTGTAATATTTGGCTGAACAGTAACAACTGAAAGGACGAGCTCCACCTACCTGTAGTCCTTCTAACATCTGGGTCTACTTTCCATCGATATATATCTTTTTTACATTGAACTTGACACACTTCTGCATATTTGTAAGCCCATTCATATTCAACAGCTGTTGCTAGTTTGCTGTCCCAAACCAAAATGTTATTTTTAAAATCTGCATAACACACTTCATCGTCATCCAATGTCACAGTGAGGAAGATGCCACTCGAGTCAAAGCATCCGTAGGTAAAACAAAGTTGGTGACCTCCTAAAAAAGAGTTTAACAGTATAAATGAACAAGAGGAAAATAAAGCAATCAACTCTATGTAGGTTGCTTACCTGTTGCACAGGTGAAATGGCCTTGAAGGAAAAATAAAGATACTAAGTACAGATCCACTGAATTGTCTGTCCTACCATTCTTATTGTCTCTGTTCTAAATATTCAATCAACACACATATCTATTATATACTGTATACCATTTAATGACAGTAAATCGCTGTAATTATTACTAACTACCTTTAATGCAATTACGGTAGTCAATTTGCTAGGTAGTGATGAAGACCTTTTTACAAGTGTCTAAAGAGCCACAGGTTGCAGACCTCTGCTATGGGCTTTAGTTTTTGTTTTACAGCACTGTTTAAAAGTCTTACTGTACTAAAGGTTTAATTGCTGCCCTGTAGCTTTTCTTTCTTTCCCAAATATAATTTGTTTTTAATATTTGTACCTCTCTGCTTCACTGTTCTATCTTATTTTCTCCAGTGTCTTCAGTTTCATTTTTAAAGGAGTGTTTCATTAAACTCATTCAGAAAAGCTAATGTTATTATAATTATAATAAACCAGTGCCAATTTTGTGTTGTGACAAGAAATTAAAATGATTCTAGTGACACTTTAGTAAAATACTTCTCTACCATTTTAGTTTACGTCTGTAGATTTCAGTCATAGTTTTAGTGTCAACTAGAGCTGCTTTAATTCAAATTTATTTAGATTTTAGTCAAGAAATATTTCTTTGGCTAAAAGAAAAGTAAAAATCCAATAAATTGTTTTATTCAATTTTTTTCCAACATTTACTCTTTAAGTAAGATCACAGTGAGATTTGCACTTTTAAACGGGTGAAAAGTAAGTACAAAAAACATATTTAAAGTAGTAAGCAATAATTGATGACATTGTCTTTATTTGACCATGGCCAAAATTGAACATTTTTGTATTATTTTAATTATTATATTATTATATTATAGTCAATGTTATCCAAAACACATCCTAAATTATCTACGCAGAAATCACAGCAAAAGTAGATTATTCTTTTTTATATCTTAAAATACTCAATATCTTTATAATAGATAAGTTCACAGTCTTCATTCCATAATGTTACATCAATCTAAACTAAAACCCAATATTATATTGTTCAAAAGTAAAGCTCTTATTTATGGTTTGGATAAAGGGTATATTGTCATAACAAAGATGTTTCTTTTCCAATATTCTTTGAAGATGATCAACAGGATCCTTGTTCCAGTCATGATTGAAGATTTATTAATCTAGTCCAGCTTCCTCTTTTACTGTAATTACTTTGTTTAAAACTAGCTACAATCATGTATTCAACATTCTTAAAGTTTGGACACTGAAAGAACAAAATGTTTTGACCTGTTAAAAAATCTTTATCTGAGAAAACTCTTTAAAATTGACAGAAATCAGTGACTTTTAAATTACTGTCCTAACAATAATTTTAGATGAAATTAAGATAGAACAGAAAAAAACAAAAGAAAAAGCTAAACTTACCTGGACTTTCAAAAGATAAAAAAAGAGTCAATAGAAAACTATAGACGTTCATGTTTTGTTCGCAGTTTGGGACAAAAAGATGCAGATCTTTACTGGTGTGCAGAGCTTTTTTGCTTCACAAAAAAGAGGAAGTGGGTGTAGTTTTGCGTCATAAAAATAAAATGAATAAATGCTTCCATATTGATTATTTAAGACAATTACCTTATTAGATTTTCTTTTTTTCAGCAAAGAATATTTATATTTTTAATTAATGTAAAACTAGCATTTAATCAAAATGCATTTTATATTCTTTTGGATTTGATTTCAGTCGATTTCAGAATCAGAATCAGAATTTCAGAAACCTATCAGAGACTTTATCACTACCTTGCAGGAAATTCTTTCTTTGCTGTGCAACTATTTAAGGAAGAAAGAAAATTGTTAGTAAAAATAAGTATATACAGTACAATCAACAGTATTTATAATTTACATTGCAGCTCAGTACTGAATTACAATCATTGCACGTGACCATGTTATTACACATAGTGAGTAATTAATTTGTAAAAGATATGCTTGTTTTAAAAGTTGTAAAATTGCCCTTGTTTAAGGTTTTGTAGTCTGGTTAGTCTTGTCTGTTTTTCCCATATTTGACTTATTTCCTATTTTAAAACCTGCAAAGGCCTAGTCAAGTATTATGACTATAAACAAACAAAAAAGTATGTATTTATCTTTAAAAAAAAACTATATATTTCAGCAATCAGCAGACTTCAGCAATCAGCAGAGATAAATATAGTTATGCGCCATCTGTTGACAGTTTATCTGAGCAAACGCGGGCTGCTCAGTGGCGCAGTGGGTAGCACTGCCCCCCATGTTCTCCCTGAGCATGCATGCGTTCTCTCCGGTAGTTCCGGCTTCCTCCCACAGTCCAAAAACATGACTGCTAAGTTAATTGATTCCTCTAAATTCTACTTAGGTGTGAGTGTGTGACTTTCTTGCGAGCATACCGCATGATCTCCAACTGTTAGGGGATTGTCCACCCAGTGTGTGAAGTCAGGATTCGGTGGATAGTGCGGAGGAACTACTTCTTGTGATCAACGGGCTGAAAGGCGATTGCCAGCAATGCGTCGAGGAGCGCATAGGGCGTGACAGGACACGTAGGACGTCACGGCTATCCACTGCATCCATCTCGTCTCCAGTCCTCTTCACCTGTCTTGCCACTGGATCTAGATGGTTGCGCAACTCTTCCTCACTTTAATCAAAGTCATAGTGCAAGTCATCTATCATCCTTCCATCCCATACCCTTTGACCCCAACTTCCCCAACCATAGGATGAATATATGGTCCTCATCGTATCAACGGATGAACACATCTGAGCAAACTAGGAACTTTAACAATAGTGAATATAGTACGTATAAATTAACATAGCTGTAGGGGCTAAGCCGACGCTTAAAGCCACTGGAGTGTTTTTAAACCGGAATCTTATAGTTGACACGCTTTGACGGGGTGAGATTTTGAAAAGGAAATGTCCAGACGCTGTTCTTGCTGTTTAAAGGCTGATTTATACAGTGGGAGAAATAAATATTTGACCCCTTGCTGATTTTGCAGGTTTGCCCACTTACAAAGAATGCAACGATCTATAATTTCCATCATATGTACATTCTAACAGTGAGAGACAGAATCCCACAGAAAATTCCAGAAATTCACATCATATGAATTTATAAAAATTGATAACTATCAGATGAGGAAAAACAAGTATTTGACCCCCTACCAAACAGCAAGTATTCTGGCTCCTACAAGCCAGTTACTTTTTCTTTAAGACACAGCCCCAATCTCAACCATCTACATCAAATACTCCTGCCTCACCTCATTACCTGTATAAAAGACACCTGTCAACACCCAAACAACCAGCATCCAATATCACCACCATGGGCAAGACCAGAGAGCTTTCTACGGACATCAGGGACAAGATTGTTGATCTGCACAAGGCTGGGATGGGCTACAAGAGAATCGGAGAGCAACTTGGAGAGAAAAGATCAACTTTCAGTGCAGTTATCAGGAAATGAAAGAAGCACCACACCACCGCCAACCTCCCTCGGTCTGGGCCTCCACACAAGATCTCGCTTCGTGGGGTGTCCCTGATCATGCGTACGGTGAGGAATCATCCCAAAACCACAAGGGGGGAACTGATGAATCAACTGAAGGCAGCATGGAGCACAGTTACAAAAGAAACGGTTGGTAAAATACTTGTTTTTCCTCATCTGATGGTTATCAATTTTAATAAATTCATATGATGTGATTTTCTGGAATTTTCTTTGGGATTCTGTCTCTCACTGTTAGAATGTACATATGATTAAAATTATAGATCGTTGCATTCTTTGTAAGTGGGCCAACCTGCAAAATCAGCAAGGGGTCAAAGACTTATTTCCCCCACTGTAACTTCCCTTCTTTTATAGAGCTTGTACATAATGGCTTCTACAATAGCATTGCAATAACTGGTATAATTCTGATGAAACGGCTGGTTAAACTCCAGCAGCAGTGTGTAGCAGTGAGTAGCATGTAATGACGCACTAACGCACTAACTGAAATATTTCAGGTCTTTTGTTGTCTTAATAAGGATGATTTTCGCATACAGCTCATGAAAACCCCAAATTAGTCTATTTCATCGGACCAATAAAAGAAAAGTGTTCTTAATACAAAAACAGTCAACCTTCAAATACAGTACAGTTATGCACTCAATACTTGGTCAGGAATCCTTTTGCAGAAACGACTGCTTCACTGCGGTGTGGCATGGATGCAATCAGCCTGTGGCACTGCTGAGGTGTTATGGAGGCCCAGGATGCTTCGATAGCATACATGATACACTCATTCCGAGTGTTTGGTCTTGCGTCTCTCAACTTTCTCTTCAAAATATGCCACAGATTCTCTATGGGGTTCAGGTCAGGAGAGTTGGCAGGCCAATTGAGCACAGTGATACCATGGTCAATAAACCATTTACCAGTGGTTTTGACACTGTGAGCAGGTGCCAGGTCATGCTGAAAAATGAAATCTTCATCTCCATAAAGCTTTTCAGCAGATGGAAGCATGAAGTGCTCCAAAATCTCCTGATAGCTAGCTGCATTGACCCTGCCCTTGATAAAACACAGTGGACCAACACCAGCAGCTGACATGGCACCCCAGTCCATCACTGACTGTGGTACTTGACACTGGACTTTTGTCATTTTGGCATTTCCGCCTCTCCAGTCTTCCTCCAGACTCTTGCACTTTGATTTCCAAATGACATGCAAAACTGAACAACAGTCCAGTGCTGCTTCTCTGCAGCCCAGGTCAGGTGCCTCTGCCGCAGTTTTTCTGGTTCAAAAGTGGCTTGACCTGGGGAATGCGGCACCTGTAGCCCATTTCCTGCACACGCCTGTGCAAGGTGGCTCTGGATGTTTCTACTCCAGACTCAGTCCACTGCTTCCGCAGGTCCCCCAAGGTCTGGAATTGGCCCTTCACCACAATCTTCCTCAGGGTCCGGTCACCTCTTCTCGTTGTGCAGCGTTTTCTGCCACACTTTTTCCTTCCCAGACTTCCCACTGAGGTGCCTTGATACAGCACTCTGGAAACAGCCTATTCATTCAGAAATATCTTTCTGTGTCATACCCTCTTGCTTGAGGGTGTCAATGATGGCCTTCTGGACAGCAGTCAGGTCGGCAGTCTTACCCATGATTGGGGTTTTGAGTGATGAACCAGGCTGGGAGTTTTAAAGAGCTCAGGAATCTTTTGCAGGTGTTTAGAGTTAACTTGTTGGTTCGGATGATTAGGTGCATAGCTCGTTTAGAGACCTTTTTCATGATATGCTAATTTTGTGAGATAGGAATTTTGGGTTTTCATGAGCTGTATGCCAAAATCATTATTATTATGTCAATGTCATTATTATATTGTATTATATTGTCATTATTAAGACAATAAAAGACCTGAAATACTTCAGTTAGTGTGCAATGAATCTAAAATATATGAATGTTTAAGTTTTATCATTACATTATGGAAAATCGTGAACTTTATCACAATATGCTAACATTTTGAGAAGAACCTGTACTTTGCATTCTAGCTTCTCTAAAAGAGATAATATATGTGTATGGCTGTTCCGTGTTTACTAACTTACATGTGCATTATTGTTGCGCTGGGCCAATGGTCTTTCTATGTTAAATGCACAATATATGCTAGAACAAAAGCAAAACAAAAATGGAATAAAATAATCCAACTCTGTGTGGTAACTTAATAGAAAGAACTTTTTATGCCACCAGAGTCAGTTACTGGTGTAATAATTGCGAAGGTCATAGCTTGTGACTAGATGCTTGTAGTACGGAACTTTTATCGGCTGTTTTGGAAATTTTTAAACTCTACTTGATTTCTGCATGGCACTATAAGGATATGCAAAATAGACACGAGCTGAACAAATAAACACGCATGGTCCAATCAAACAGTTTTAATGCTTAAGCTATTTAATGGTGTCCTGCATTTTTTATTTCTGAGTTAAAAATGGTTTAAATCAACTGAATATTAAGATGAGAATAACAATTTGCAGAGTAAGATCTCCCTCATAAACTACAGACTTCAAAACCAATATGGTTACTGCATGTTTATAAGGTAGCAATCTACTCTTTACTTGCATGATTACTTTCATAAATCGTTTCTTAAATCAGTCATATAGTGCTTATTATCCCTTTTCTTGAAATATGTTGATACTTTGAATGCGCAAATTGCAGTGATATACATTCCTATTGGCTGGTATTACTACAAAAACTTGTCTGTTCAGTGAGCACTAAAATGAGCAAGCCCCTCATTGTTCAAAGTCCTAGGTGAAATATACCTTTATTCTCATGACATGTATAGAGAGAAACAAACAATGTTCCACTTCCTTTGGTTTTACCGCCAGCGGTGAGATACATGTTCCTCTGTCTGAAGTTAAAATTCTTGTTTCACACCTGAGTTCCTTTATGCCACTTCTACTCTAGTAATCTTCTTGCTTCTTCTATGTTGTCCCTTCTTTGTAATTGACAGTCAGGTCCTTTATTTGACCATAACTTTATCCTATCCTCCCAAAATATGTGAAAGCTAAAGCCTTACTAG